GGCCCCGTGGGAGCCGGGGCTCGGGCTCCGCGCAGAACTGGGGGCGCGGCACAGCATCCCCGAGCGTCCCGTGGGGAGCCGGCGCAGAAGGCTTGCCGCGTGCGTATCTAGGGCTCTCTGGAAAGGAACGAGCCCTACTTACTGGTTTATTTTTTTCCCGAGACCTCAATTTCCTAAATCCCGATTCAGTTTAAAAATAACTCTTTGAAGGTTTTCAGCACTACCACTTTCCAACACCGCTTGTTCGGGCTTTGTGCTTCGGTATGTGTATGCAGGCACTTGCACAGGAGCATCGGTGGCAGGAACAGGTACCTCTGGTGAAATCAGGCTTTTGTGATAAAGTGCTACAAGGCCAGAGCAAAGCAAACCTTGACTCGTGCATTCCTGTACTTCCTCACAGGTATGGCAGGGCTAGCGTTTAAAAGCAGACTTCAGATTGAGGTTTTATCTGAGAAGAAGTTCGCATCCTGCAGCTGCATTTGGCATTTAGCATTCTGAAATAGCTCCTAGATCTTAGAGCAGCTATGTGCAGAATTTTTACTCCAATGAACAGATCGTGCTCCACTTCGTATCAATAGACATGTCTCTACTGATATCACATGTTAACCAGCTTACGGGCAAAATCTTATAAATGGAGTCATGTTAGGAAAAATCCCAATAACTCATTCAGTGTTACATAGTTGAGTACTCACATACAACATTTTGTCACTATGGCTAGAATTTGAGACGCATCTAACTATACTAAAGCGTCATTCTGCAGATCTGCTGTAGCATTTCAGGCAATCTGAGAGAAGGTAATTTTGCTTAATGAGCACTAGTTTAAATGAAAGTGAATTGAGCACAACCTCAAATACAATCTTCCAGGTGATCCGAAGAGTTAAATCAGTATTATCTAGCAGAGCTGTGTCAGCTCACCTTGGTTGAAGGTATGGACATCACCATAGGGCGGAAAGAGATCATAATGCTGAGAGGTGAATTCATGTGATGGTTGTATCACTGAGGATACAGTAACAAAAGCAAAAAAACCTGAAGATAAAAAAAAATGTTGAAATAGGAAAAAACAATGAAAGTAGAACATGGAAGGAAGAGGAGGAAGAATAGGCTTCACGGAATATTGCTCTGTTCTTAAAAACAATCATGTGCAATCAGTACAGCAAGGACATGTTGTGAGATTGGATCTTCTCAAATATCTGTGCAGCATGAAAAGAATCCTACAGAATTCAGGCAGAATTCATCTGACAGGTCCAGATAATTTTAATATACAGTTACTTAAATTTATTAATTCTGCCTTCTCTCTAAAAAGAAAGCCAGGACTCTTTCAAACAACTTAGTGTCTACTGAAGTAAACTTTAAAACCAATACGGAGTCCACAGTGCAACCTTCTGGATTTCTCATATTCACTCTGACAGTACTATTTGATGTCATATAAATTAAGCTATGATTACCCCATGAAAAGTGCTTATGCCACATATGCAGGAAAAAAAAAAACGACAAAGGGCAGCAGCAAAAGTCTGTGGTTTCTGACTGAAGGAATTTTCTTGTTGTGGGGGAGGGTGATCAGGTATAAATTTTGACCCTGGTCCTGCAATTGGATCCATCAAGCCTGACCTCTGTGCTCCTGCAGTGCTTGCTGGAGTCAGCAGAACTATGTGCTAAGTGCAGGGATCTGTCCATGTGGAACTAACTGGGGATTTGGGACCTTCCAGTTTCCTGCTGTGGAGGGAGGATGAGTTCACCTCTGTGTAAATTCTGGAAGAGAAGCAATAGATTTCCATAGGAGAAACTTGCATTTATTTTTAGACCTTCTGCTCTCTCACTTAATCCCATAGAGATCATGCTGAACAGAGTGCCTGCCTTTCTCCAAATACACGTCTACTTGCTAACACTAGGCCAGTGCTGCTGAAAATCAGTGTGCCCCATATTTCTCTAGTGAGAAAAACCTCACACAGTTTGTAGTCACTGTCCAGTACCTGCTGCTGCACTTGCTAATCCAGTTGGTTTAAATGTTGTGTCCCAAATACAACTTCTGTCAGTGTCATGCCTGTCACTGTGGAGCATGGTGGTTGTCTTGTGTCCCTCCTTGTGGATGTCCCATCCCTGGAGATGTTCAAGACCAGGCTGGGTGAGGCTTTGAGCAACCTGATCTAGTTGAAGATGCCCCTGCCCATGGCAGGGGGATTGGAACTAGATGATACTTAAAGTCCCTGCCAACCCACACCATTTTAGGATTCTATGGTTCCAAAACTGCTTTATTTCTTGGCACTGCTTTATTTCTTTATTTTTTTTTTTTTCTCTAAGTATAAAGGACAGGGAAGTCAATGCGCACCTGCAGCTCCATGCAACTGGACAACGTTCTGAATGCACCTCTCCATCCAGAGCTACCTCTCCTGATTGCTGGCAAGGCTGCATGGATGCTCACTGACTTCCAGCTGCCAGGTACATCCTGTACCACCTGCCTGTGCTCAACATCAGGCTTCTCCAGCCCTCAGGAATGAGATAAATGAGATCATTCACAGATCAATGACAACTGGAAGGAGCTGAAGCAGCTGTGTTGGCAAGTAAGAGAAAGTTCATGCACTCCATAATGGACGTTTGCTTTTGGCCATGCTATTCCAGGCCAGAGACTGACTCACAGGCACACCAGCAGCATACTGCTCAGTTATTTTGGATGGTGACCATTACCCTCTAGTTCATTTTGCATGGTGCCTGCTATGGCAGGCATGGGCTCAGAATAGCTTTTGATTTGAGCCCTTTGAGGGAGATAGGCAAAACTGATTGGATCCTGCATGGGGAGATACTGACTTGTCTAGTTGCCTCAGGACACGTCTAGGCACACTCAAAAGCAGAACCTGAAGCATATGTAGAAATATAAAATAAAAATGAAAGGACTCATGGCATTCTTGCTCCTCTGGGTTTTAGACAGCTCCCGAGTAAAGCTTTTTGAGACTCCCATTCTGGATTGCAAGACTTTGGAGCTTATGCACTTCATCCTTTGTTAGATACAGCTGTAAATCCATTTGTGGATACAATGCCTGGAACCATGTTCGTCTCGAAAGTTGAACTTGAACAATAAAGTTTGCTGCAGCCAATAGTCGCCTGGATGCTCTGGGGAAATGTATGGCCTGAGTTGTGTGCCTAGGATGCACATTCAAACAAGAAGGGACCTCAGGAAGGGTCCCACCACAGCTCTCTTAGAGAGTAATGATGCAGCAGAGAGAAGCTGTGATTGTTAAAGCCTTTAAAACTGGTAAGACCACACACCTCTGTCAAGGCTTCCTGGCAGGTCATTTTCTTTAGCGAAACTAACCTAGTAGTTGTTAGGACTCTTGGTGGGGAAGGGAACTGAATTTGATGTGTGCAGGATCTCTTAGAGGTCTGTGTGAAAATGGGCAGAGGTCACTATATTTTCTCTGTTCTGGGATGCTCTGTTTCAAACACGGTACTCCAAAAATGCCTACAGGACTGGGTTGTACAGGTGAACCAAGCAGAGGAAGTCTAATCTGTAGACTGAACTTAATAATGAGTGAGCTGGTCTAAGGAATCAGACAGAGTTAAGACATTATAGGCACTTTCATGAATCAGACACTTGAGCTCTTTTGACGTTTCCCAAGCAATCAGTAGGGAAAATATATCAAGAATAAATCATATGTTTTCTAATGATGCTGAATGTCCAGGAGGAAACATCTTGTGCATTCACAGTTCACACTGGTTTCAGCAAGCCTGAAAATCAGGCTCCTAGTTGGGGAACCCTAATATGTATTTAGATCCTTGAGTTTAATAGCTTCGTGATCAATAGTTTTACTATTAGACTACATAGCAAAGGGCTAGTGAATTTTGATGGAGAAAAATAAGGGATAGTTAAAGATCTTCAGTGATACTGAACTGTGTATCAGTACAAAGATCTTGCTCACACTTGCTTATCATGCAAGCATTTAAAAAAAAAAGATTCTTGAGGACTACAAGGCTGACATCTCTTAGAAGTGTTGTCTGTCATCCATGGTTATTTTATGAAGACAGTGGGTATATTTCCTCATAACGGGGAGGTGACAAGTCATCACAGGTGTAGTCTTCCAGCAGTTCTTCTGGCTCATCAGAACTGTCCTCTGACCTGAAAATAGGAAGAGGAGCAGGCGCAAAAAGAATTTAGCAAATAACCTCAGTGCTGTGTCCTGTCAGCCTATCTGGGCAAAGCGCTTTCTGACTTCTTGAGAAAATGCTACAAGATTAAGTTGTACTGTGATTCAATTGCTTGCTGTGTTCTTTCCATGAAGAATAAAAGTGCGAGGAGGTGACCTTTGTTTTCATGCTGCCTATGCCTGTCACTCATGTTGCTGAGGACGATGGGTCAGTCAGCAGTTTTTCAAACAGACTTTGATAAATTAACTACAAGTGACTTGTGTTCCAGAAAGGATAGAATTCTGAGTAATTCCTATAATAGAATATTTTTCCTTAGAGGGAAAAGCTATATAAAATTATTTTGTATCTGATTAAAGCAGTTTCGTACTACTCTGTAATATCAGCGATCTTGTTTATGCCCCAAAACTATGAAAAGAGTAAGGGATGGAAGGTTTCTACAGTGGGAGAGGAGTGTGTTGTGACCAGGCATAATCAGGAGGGAGAGCATCTGGTACCAAACTGATTCTTGCATTGTTGTAAAAATGCTGTTTGAGCGCTGACTCATGTGCTGTGATTGTGTTTAAGCAGAAGCTTCTGGCTGTACATACAATAACCTTCCAGTCAACAGTCTAAAGGTAGTAAGATAAGCATTAAAAAAAAACATAGGCAGAAGCATATATACTAAGATCTTCGAAAATAACAAGAGATTTAGTAGACTGAAAATTGAAAGGGATTCATAAGTGAATTTAGTTTGGACAAAAATGCTTTCCAGAAAAAGTATGTCTCCATAGTCTTTACTCAAGAAATACTCCTAACAAAGAAAAAAAAATGTCTGAAGAAGGATAATACCCTGCACTAGCTTCTATTTCCTTTGAAACAATACATAGCACTTAAAATACTCAGAAGCCTGTGTCCAAACACACCAAGGCATTTCAGAAGATGTACCTCTGATTCCTGGTATTCTCTGCAGGAAAAGTAGCGTAGTTCTCATCTCCAGTAAAAGCTGGGTTATCCAGATGGTAGGCAGGGCAGAAGTGAGAAGATCCCGGTGTGGGAATCGGTGAGGTGCTGGAGGAAACAGCACTGCAGCAGTTGAGCACTGGGTGAAGGTAGCCAGAACTCACAGCAATGCCTTCCTGGGCTCGGTACGGTGGAGGGATATACTGTACCACTGTGGCACCATGAAAAGTTATAGGCTGGTTAATGCCGGTGAAGACAAAGGACTGTCCACTTCCAGTTTGGTCGAGGTCTGACATGTTTTCCTCTCTTTCTTTACAGGGCTTGCATGTAAGCATGTTAAATTTACAAATGGCAATCAGAATGAAAGTCACGCCAACAGACAGCAGAATAGGCCCTAGTAACTGAGTCCACTCGAGGTGAGTAATGCCGTCGTATTTTATCCATCCCATCACGGTGAAAGTGATCCCCACCAGTCCCAAAAACACACCTGAAAAGAGCAACGTAGCACCGGCTTTATCCCCATCTGACACTAGGACATCGGATCTGTTTGGCTGATAAGGAGTGACAGAAAAGACATTCAAGGAGAAATCTTCTACGTTGTTGTTGTTCTGCTCCATTACTGAGTATAACGTATCTTCTGCCTCAAGAGAATGGGGGCTTGTAAGGGACTTGGCAGAGCACTTAAAGTCAAAGGTTCAGGTTAGTTATACAAGAACTTTGTGTGTGTATGGTTAACAGAGTCCATCATGTGAAAGAATAAACTTTGCTTAGAAGAATAAAGGTCTAGAAGTGAAGCCTGAAGTTATCACTAAAGACTTGAATTACCACCGTTGCTTCCGAAATGTCTTCACCCTTGCATGGCTGCTTATCTCTTTGTTTATCCTCTTCTTCAATTTGGCACCCACTGATACTTCCTCGCTGTGCCCATGCCAGATGGGAAAGAAACGAAGCTGCAGCCACCGCAGTTTTTCCTAGGCTCCCTGCCAGCTGATGCATCCAACATATGGACAGCATATGTTTAGTCAACAGCAGTTGTGGCGAGTCTTGCTCTCCTTGGGACACTGCTCCACCAACCCAGATCTGCAGGAAAATGCGTGGCCATCGCTGGGAGTACTTTGCAGTGCTCTGAAGTGTGACGTTTATAGCCACGCCTGGACTTCTGCTGCAGCTCATTCTGCAGTCCAGAGCTTCTGCGGTTTGAAAAATATCAGAGTAAGCTTTCTGACATTTTGCCAAGGGCGAGTAATGGCTGGGTGGGAGGGTAAGTGGCAACAGGGTGGTGAGTGCTGAACAGCCTGAGAGACTTGCTGGTTACGGGAGAAAAGTTATCTCAAGCTGGCCAAAGCTTTCCAGCTGTCTGAAGGTAGCATAATTGCTCTGTAATTTCCCCTTAATTGTGGGCATTTTTTGTTGTGGGATCTCCACCCCTTCTTTGACGTTTATAGGGAATAAAGCCCACGTACCCTGAATAACGCGTCACTGCAGGAATGAGAAAGCATCTCCTGTAATGTTACACCCGCTAAAGTGAGGGATCTCGTCCTGTATTCGCAAGTATCTAGAGTATTTTTTTTACATCACAATGAACTGTTCTGTTGGACATATGTCCCATGCGTTAAAAAGACAGATTAATGGAATGCTGAGATTTTCTGTTTCCTAGCAGTACCAGACTAAAGTAATTGCTGTTGGGAAGGGTTCTAGTAGAAAGTCTTTGTATAATTCCTTGAGGAGGAAAAATCTTCAACTACTCGATCTGTTTTGACTAGCATGGCAGGGGAGTACACACAGGACAGAGATTACTCCTCAGGTGGTAGAACGTATAATGCTATTTCCTGCTACCAGCAGCTCTGGGGAAGCAAGCTTATCCTGAGAGTTATAAGACAAAAATAGCTCCAGAACTAGAAAACCTACCTTCTTTCAGACCGCTCCTTCAAAATCAGTAAAGATGGCTTTAATCTACTGTGCGCTCATACCATATAATGTGACAATAGCTCAGTTCTGAAAGGCGCTGCTCATCAAATTTTGTGCCTTCAGAACTGATGCTGAATGCAATTGCAGATGTGTGTTTCTCATTTGTCAGCAGATAGACCTTAAGGAATATTAGTGCTGGACTCCCTTAAAAATCCTGTCTGGGAAGTTTCCTAAATCAGTATTGTGAGTGTTTTATTACTAAGGGTGCCAACAAATTTTCTGACAAATATATTCAAGATCAGCTGTTCCCCCAGCACTAAGACTAGTCAGGACTCTCTGCACCACTGGAGCAAAGTGTTAGGGCTTGCAATGCAGTGGTTTCCTATGACAACAACTAAATTAGAAAGTGATGAAATACTAGATGAGCTGTCCTTGTACTGGTAATTATAGCCAAAACCTAAGGCATCTTTAACCTTGTCTTTGGTAAACGTAATGGAATGAACTTCTGCTGCTGTTCTCTGCAAGTCAGGTTTTTCTATCCCATGAATCATTCTTGTCACTGTTCACTGAATCTTCCCGGCTTTCCAACATCCTTTCAAAAGCAGCATTATATCATAATAGCTAACTAATGTTATATACAGATGCAGTGTCACCTTCCAACTCCCATTCATTCAATACCTCTGCATCCGCTCTTTGTAACAGGTTTGTGCTGGAGCACTTCATTAGTCCTATACAGAGGTCCATAGATGCCAGCTGGACTCAAGTTTTCCAAGTCAAGTGTTGCATCATCCCATGGCTGATGCTCTTTGCCTCTGGCCTGGGATGTGTCCTAAGGGTTGTTGAGCAAGCGCACGGCAGAGCTGGAGAATACAGGTGGTTTCGTCCCAGGCTACTTGTCACTTTAACTTTGAAAATGGGATTGAAAACACTTTCTGTTCGGTGCAGTAGAATTTAAATTAAAATTTAAATTGTACACTGCCCCCTCTTTGCCTGTATAATTTGCTCTCAGCCTCCCCAGATTTTTACCATTGTTTCCCCAGACAGTGGTGATGCTGCATTCAGGCAGCTGTCAAGGTTTTAAGAGATTACCGGATCATATTGACTTTTTAAGGCCAGTACTTTCCTCTGCCAAGGAAGCGTATGTTCTGGGAACTCACTCAAAGACACTAATTTACTGAATGCATCCTCTTTCACCTGGAATAACTGCTAAACAACTTAAAACAGTTTTGGCAAACCTAAGGAACTGGTCAGAGTGAGGTTTTCAAAGTGGGTGGTGTTTTCAGATCTCACTACAGTTTTGTTCCCATCAACTTCAGCGATCTTACCCCTGAACCCAAGCACTGCTTTGCTTTCTGTTGCTCTACTTAGACTTCCCCTGCAGTGCTTGCTGCTGGAAGCAGGTTTTCTGCAGTGCTTTGCACCTCCTCACTTCTCTAGCCTGTTTCAAGAGTCATCCCTATAAACACTGTCAGGCCTTCACTGAACCTGTCTCTCCTCTCCTTCTGCTATTAATTTTTACATGGTTGTTCACATTATCAGCCCATCATAGTAAGGTTTTATTTCTTACATGCCTGTAGTATAGTCATGGACTTAGTCACAGAACATTCAAAAGATGTTGGGTGAAAGAAAAGTAAATTATACCGTAGTATTGCACATTGATTTGCTTTAAAAAGAGTAGGTACATAATATCGCTCCATAATGAAATACGCAATTGTAGGGAGATTAAGGAGCCAATTATTTGACTGAGAGACTTTTTCCTAGAGAAAGGCGACTGTAGGTGGCATTTTTAGTGAAAAACATGGATTGCGTATCTAAGAGCAGTACCTCAAGTGCACTCTGGGGCCCTGTACTACTACACTGCCAGCCTCAAAGCATAAATAAGCCGCAAAAAGCAGGCTCAGCCAGCTGTCCACAACTGCATCTAGCTGCAAGGTAGTTTTATACGCTCCCAGGGAATGTTGTCTTGTGAGCTGGCACACCAAATTGAAGGTATTTCCAGATTATTAATTATCCAGACCGACACACGCATGTGTGATAGAGGGAGGAGCACAGATACAGGTGAAGGCTGACACGTTTGCTGCAGAAACGTGGAGGCATTGACAGAAATGTCTGCCTGGACACAGAAATGCCCCACGAGGCATGACTCTGAAGAGGCAGGATGTAAAAAGGATAGATGGATACATCGCTACCAACTGCTAAGGGCAAGGATGGGCTGGGTGCCATCCAGTGAGTGCAGGTATTCTGAAAAGACAGCATCACTGCATTGCAGAGATCTGGGCAATCTCAGTATTTCAGATGAGATACGTTTCCATTTTTTTAGCTGCTGGTGATGCAGGAAGAAAGACTTGTCCAAGAGAAGAGGCATTCATTTATATTTTTGCTGCTAATTCTTTTCATATCCAAAGGATTGCAGTGTTGCAGTTAGAAGCAGCACAATGTCAGTGCGGGCAGTAAGGGAGACCTTAGTTTTGCCTACCGAGGATAAGCAGTCCTTACCTCCCACTTGGCCTGTTTAAGTAAGTGTGAATCAGTAACCAACCTGATTTGCTCCCTAGCATTTGTACGTCAAGCACTCAAGCTAACCTTAGGGCAGAAAGGGGGTTATAGCACTATTAGTGTGACAGTAAACTACCTCACTTCCTCAATAAAAATGCTGTTCTGTATTATTTTAAGCTACTTTTATAGTTTTACAAGGTGTTGCTTCCTTTCTAATACAGACATTTCACCCCTATTCCCCACATGAAAAATTCCTCCCACTAATTCTGTTCACGCAGTGGTAGCCTTCACTGGTGGAGGCAGATCTGCCAGCCTCTTACTCACATTTTCTGACCTTGCTGAAAGAGATTTCGACAACACAGTAAGCAAATACTGTTGCCCTGGCTACGTTAGCTCTCTCAGTGCTGGGCAGGTTATGGAGATGCACCCAGCACATCCACTGAGCTTTAAAGAAATGATTGCCCAAGTCAAAACCAGAAGATGCTAACACAGCTGTACACTGAAGTATTTCCTAAGCATCTTCTCAAAATGACACAAATTCTGTTTTCAATGCTCGTTTGCAGAGGTTAAGTAACACCTACCCTTCCCAGGAAATTCAGGTGCTGACACTGAAAAGTCAGGTCAGCAACTTTCTAAAGCACGCTTTTGATGAAGACTGCTTTTTTAGAAATGAAGCAATCCACACTGGAGACTCTGCAGTAGAAGATGAAGACACAATAACTTTGAAGAAAAACCAGACTGTGTTTCAGTTCCAGAGGACTGAGCTCAGTGCAAACATATTCTAGGTGATTTGTCTGGTCTCTTGAGTACATCTTGAGAACCACTGATTGAGCAAATTGCAGGAAGCGCAAAAGGTTAATACCTTTACAGTTAGCAATAGGACATGACTATTTTTTTTTAAGAAAAAAAGATGGTGACATATTTAAAGATTTGTTTAAAGGCTTTTTGATGTTTCACCCTTTCAGCAAATGAGTATTCATTTGTAATTCAAACAACAGAACAAAGCCAACATGGGTCTTTGCATGAGGTCTTTTAGGTAAAATATCCCAGCTTCCACACTTGTTATATAATAGCATGACAAATCAAGAGGGAGCAACAAACTCCTTTGATACATGCAAGGCTTTGTACGCACGAGTCAAGCAGGGCAGTGGGCATCACTGTTAAAAATCAGGTTAGAAACAAAAGCTTTAAAAAAAATAAAATCAGAAAGATGGTAAACCATACCTTGGACTCCAAAAGGCACTCAGCATCCTTGAAAAACTCATCAGTTAAAAAACGTGTGAGGGAAAAGAGGACAAAATGCCTGCTGGCTTTTGTGGATTCCCCTTTCTCCGTCTAGACATTTCCCATGGCAGAGTCACACCAGTTTAATCAGCTCCCATATACGAAATCCCTCTCTGTTGTGTTTGCTCATTACTCTGCATGCATAAGCCCCTCAGCTCTATTGCTGGCTAAATACGCAGCCCTGGCTGGACGGTTTACGTGGCCGCACAAAGAGCTGCCCTAGCATGACTGAGGGAACAACGTGGAGGCGGAAATGAACGGCCAAACGCAGGAGATCCTGAACGTCTCCCTAAAGAACTCTGCAGGCA